CGGGGCAAGCGCTTGGGGTTGTAAATCTACGAATAGTTACTTTGGCAAAGCAACTTCTTTTTCAATAAGTTCTTTCTTTTTCTCTCTCTCAGCTGCTTTCTCTTTTTCTACCATCATTATGGTAGTGATATCTTCTCCCAGTGGATGGATTCATAATGATTATTAGCCAGGATGGTTAAACAGCTGCTGCTCTATTCACTCACATTCAAGATAGGAAAGGGAATATTGCTGTGAAAACAAATTAAATGGCCACATGTGTACGTGCTGTATGAACACTCGTCCAGCTTCTCAGATAGTTATAAAGCCATTATGCTGTTAAGGCTGCTTCCAGCACTGGATCTTGGTATTCATTCCCACGGGACCTATGCAAAAGTCCTTTCAGCCATCATAGTGAAAACATGTCCTCTTGTGAATGGAATGATGGGACATTGAAGGCAGATGCAATTTTCCCCTCATTTCAGCACAATATGACTTGGGTGATTTCATGGGGAACCAGGTTATTAGCCATGATGGCTATGTGTCACTCTCTACATACAGTAAAAGGTAATGTGCTTCTGAATACCATTTCCTGAGGTGCACAAGGTAGAAGGTACTAGCGTGCTGATATCCTGGCTTCCTGGTTGACCAGCATCAGAAAACAGATGCTGAACCAGATGGGCTGTATTAGATTAATCCAGCAGAGCATTTTTTTAAAATTTGTTTTGTTCTGGGGTCTGTTCCACCTACATGGTTTGGCTAGAAATCCAGAGCTTAAATGAAAAATTGCATGTCCATTTTCATTTACTAAGCATGTTTCTAGTATTTGGAGAAAAATCTGAACATTTTTAGAAAAGGCCCAGTGATGATGCTGTCAGCTATTTAATTACAGCTTGGTGTCCAATATAAGTGAAAAGAAAATGAAACTAAAGGCTATCTTCCCATTAATTCTTTTCACTGGATGCTTCTGTACTTACACTGGGGTATCTCAACACATTCTTTTATCCCTTATATTTTATCTACACTGACCTGCTGGAAAAGATTCTTAGAGTCTTGGGGTTGTCTGTCAACAATATGACACACAGATCTCCTCCCCCCCCCCTTTTTGTTTCAGCTCATGCTAATGCAAAATAAGAATTGGTTTAAGCCCATATTCTTTGTAGAAAGTTGTACATCAATTACAGTAATCT